CAGGCCATATGGCTTCAACAGGAACAAGGCACAGCAGGTTATCAGCAAGACATCCCAGGGAAGGCAGGGGCTTTTAGAAATCAATATTTCTAAACACCCCCCCCCCCCCCCGGGTCTATTGAACCAGGAGAAAATGGGATTTTCAATCCTGGATCCGAACACCACACTGGTATTGGGATCTGGGATTATTCGGGAAACCAGATTTTTTTCCCCTGGTTCAGTATACCTGAATTGAAAAGGGAGGGGGGAATGCACACAATGGCATGTCTACAATGGTGTTTTCTGTGCTGTCTTATTTTGAAGAATAACATTAGTTTCCCTGATGCCATAGAAATGTGTATAGTCTGAAACCCGGGGGAGCCGTCGACATCTTTGAAACTGATGGGTTTTACATGCTCAGGGCTTGGTAGAAGCATGTGTTCTCCACTATGACATGCATAACAAAGACAATCTGGGTCAGAGATATGAGAATAATTCAAGGGAGAGCAGGATTGTCTAACTGGTACCTTTTGTTATGCCACTGAATAGCAGGCACTGCTGGGTAACCAATAGAGTTTCCTGGTTCCCCCTATGAGGGGTAGCATTGACAGATCTAGGTGGGGAAAGTCCCAGATATTAGGGGATGCGGTCTGGAGAGGGCAGGGACCTCAGTGCAGGACAATGTCATAGAATCCACCCTCCAGAGCATCCAATTTTTTCAGGGGGAACTGATCTCTATAGTCTGGAGATAAGCTGTATTTTGGGGGGTCCCCAGGTCCTACCCGGAGGTTGGAAGCCCTAGAAACCAACTAGAATGGCTCTCCTTGTGAGTCTTAGAAAGAGTCGCAAGCTCTGGGTTGGAAAATGCCTAGAGATTTGGCGGGGTAGAGTTTGGGGAGGGCAGGGTTTGGTGAGTGGATGGACCTCAGATGGGTATAATGCCCTGCCCCTTTAATAGAGACTTAATATCTGGAAATGGGCCACTGAAACCTATCATGTAGGCTTCCCAAGTCCCCCCGGGGGGTGGAGAAACCCCCGCCCCAGAGGCCCGTTCCCCGCCGCTGGCGGATCGGGCCCCAGGGGGAACCCCACCCTGACGTGTGCGTCACCCGGAAGTGACGTGACCATGCCGGGCACGCTGGGGGTGGGGCCACGGTCATCCAAGGGAAAACTCAATGGTTTTCCCTTGGATGGTCATGGCCCCGCCCCCAGCATGCCCGGCATCGTCACATCACTTCTGGGTAATGTGCATGCAACACGTGCGCACTTTGCGCATACGCACGCACTCAAGCCACAGCGCGGAAGTCCCCTGGTAAGGAGATATTTTGACTTGGCAACCCTACTTTCATGGCATGAAGGTAAATAACATCACCTGGCAAATAATAGTCCATTAAGCTTCTATTAAAGGGGCAGGGCATTTTCTCTCTCTCTCTCTCCAGACTTCCAGCCTCCAGAAATCATCTATCTGAGCACTGTTGGGAAAATTGGGTGGTAGACTACATGGAGCCTAGATCCCATCCTGCTGGGGTCTTGTGCTCTGTGCTCTTTGTTCCCAAGATATGCAGGGCTGCTGTAAACAGAAAATGTGCTGTATTTTCAGATGTACTGAATTCTAAAGGTGCCCATAGGCTCAAAAGTGTTGAGGACTCTTGATGTAGAAAGCTTTATGAAAGATATTCAAATGTAAAAGTCTGAACTTATTTGATTGTTTTAAATAGCCTTGGACTACTGTGGAGGCTTAAAATGTCACGCTTAATTTCAGCTCTGAATTCCCTAAAATTGGGTAGCCTGTACATGGATATTCCAAATGACATCTCTTCTCTCTCTTGAAATTCAGCAGTGAGCCAAACATATCTGATTAATGGTGCTTGTGAAGAAATGCCCTTTTCTCTCCAGGGAAGTTTGAAATGAGCTAAACCTCCACTTTGTGTTTGAACAGGTTTTCTCCCCCCTCTGGGCAGAGTGCAGCCAGGAATAGGGAAGTTATTCCAAATGTTTTCCAGATTACCTTTATGCATGTGCTAATAGATCTAGCCAGTGAGACAATATGATGGACTCCCCCCCCCCCAAGCAGGGAACAGAGTTTTGGAGGTATAGAATACTAGATAATTTACAGGAAGGAGATTACTTGAGATCTCCAGGAAGTACTTATTTGACCTGGTGTGACCTGGTGAGTGGGAGGGGAAAACAGATATGATAAAAGCTCCTTGTAGAACAAAGGAGCTCTTTTTTTTCATTGGGTGCTGAGGACATGATCACACACCGACCTCTCCACCGGGAAAGCAGCCATTTTGACCATGTGCTGACCTAAGTGAACTGGAGGGATCTTCAAAGTAAGGAAATTCGAGATATCTATATCAACCTACTCTGAAGGGGCCCATCCTATTTTAACATCTGATAGGGCATGTATAAAGAAAGGGACAGAGGTTTTGTGTTTTAACAATTTCTTTTGGTTCCCTTGCTCAGAGTGCAAAAAGTATGCTTATGAACACTTTATTTTCTAAAAATACTTTATAAGATTTGGATTAGGGCTGTCAAGTGGGGGCGGGGGGCGGGTAAACCCCCGCTTTGGAGGCCCAATTTCCGCCACCGCGGAATTAGGCCCCAAGGGGAACTCTGCCCCCCGAAGCGCAGCATGGCTGCGTCACCGGAGGTGACGCAACCACGTCAATCACGTTGGGGGCGTGGCCCCGATTGTCGGAGGGAAAACTCTATGGTTTTCCCTCTGATGATCGGGGCCACGCCTTCAACATGGCCGATGTCGCGCATCCCTTCCGGTGATGTGCTGCCGGTGCGCACTTTGCGCACGCACATCTTTGGATGGCTCCCGGAGCCCAGTGAGGCTCCCCCGCCAGTAGGCAAAATAGACTTAGCAACCCTAATTTGGATGCTGGCTGTGGTTCTCTGTACCACATACATTTCCACAGTCTTGGACATTGAAAGGAGTGCCAGGAGGGGGAAGACAGGCAGTTTGCAAGTGGCCAGTCCTCCAAGGGCACACAAGGCAGTAACCTGTCCTCATGGTGACCGGGTGCTGGCAGCAGGAGACACAGAGGGAAGGCCTCAGAACTCAGAAGGGAGGCTGGGAGTCCTGACCCTCCTAGTGGGCAGTCCCTTACAAAGGTCAGATGGTGGTGATGTGTTACTGGAGAGAGAGAGAAAAGCCTCTCCAGGGAGTCGGAAACCCCTTGGAAGGCAGGGTGGAATAAGGCCTACGGGCCAGAGAAGGCCCATTCTACCACAGTGCTTCCTCCCTCTCCTTTGGTTTCTTACCCTACCCATTAATCTTTGAGGGCAGCAGCTTTGTCAGGGGTGTAAAAGCTGCACAGCACTTCCAGAACATGCCAAATCTGATGAGACATTCCTGCGGGAAATGAGGAGTGTATCATGGGCAGGAATAGTCCTATTTTATCATGGGCAGGAATAGTCCTATTTATACCCCCTTTTAATTCCCGAATGGATTGTTTGGCTCAGAGCAAAGTTAGCATTAGTCCTAACCAGGGGTCATTTCCTGCGGGAGCGCACAGGAGCGGAGCTCCAGCAGTAAGGAGCCCAGGGAGCGTGCACATGCAGCAAGCCCCCCCTGCTCCCAGCAGCCCTCAGTTGGGCCACAAAGAGCAAGAAGCAACCAGGTAAGTAGCAGAGCCCCCCCTTCAGGTACAAGCTCTCCTTCCTCTGTGAGGGCAAATCTGTGCGTCCCCCCCATAGCTAGCAATCCAAAACAGTCCAGCGGCACCTTTAAGACCAAGTTTTATTCAGGTACGAGCTCTCCCTCCTCTGCGAGGACAGATCTGCACGTCCCATGCTCCCCCCACCTTCAATAGCTAGCAATCTGAAACAGTCCAGTGGAACCTGAGTGGTGGGTGTTGCCTTCTGGCACACTTCCAGTGATGTCAGGGGGTGTGGCATATGCAAACAAGCTATGCCAATGAGTTATGCTAATGAGCCCCTGCACCTCTTTTTCTACGAAATGACCCCTGGTCCTAACTATGGTGTTTGTTACCAGTGTGCTCTGTTCTTCCTATGGCTGTCTTTTCTTTCCTATAAACTACCCCTGCCTGTTCTGTGGTTTGCCCTGCTGTTGAATTTTGTCTGCATGTTCTATTGTTTCTTTTTTTACCACATTTCTTGCTCAGACTCCAGGCAGATTCCCCTCCCCCCGCCCTTTGGTTTGGAAACCCACTTAAAACCATGGTTAAGTGGCCAACCCTGGTTAGACCTTACCCTAGTTAGTGCAAAGTAGGTGTCATATTACGCCATGGTGAAAAAGAAGGAAGGGGTGATGGAAGAGAGGGTGGGAAATGAGGAAGGTCAGGGGGAGAGAAGCCAGCATATCTAAGCCATTGGCAAACTCTGTGCATGCTCCATCGCTAGACTGTTGAGGAAAGCTGCATTTGCAGGGAGTGTTATTGTCTATACACAGACAGGTGTGTGCACTCAACAGATCTTTTTTTCACCCATTTGGATACTAATCTTTATTGCTCAAGAGAAAGGAGCCATTACTATATATATCTAGAGTTGTATAAGGCAAACGTCTAAGGTTTTGGCACAAGGACATTTTTGAGTCTTTTTGCTAGAAGGGGGAAAAACCAACATTTGCAGTTAAAACACTTTGGACGGACATAGTGGCGCAGAAATGTCACGCAAATTGCCATCACTGACCGTTTTATTACGTATGCCAGCATCAGCCTGTTAAACACTGTTTTCAGAGTTCCGGCGCCAAATGACAATAACCGTTAAGTGTGTACAGTCTATGGCATGTTTCCGTTTGACTGCCACTGGTTCTCTGCAAGCCGTATGGCAACCAATGGGCTGGAAATAGGCAGATGACTGTGAAACCCATTTGCTAGTAAAAGATATTGTGCGTAAAATGGGAGCGGGTGAATTGATATTTATGGAAGCTTTCATTGTAGCTTAAATATGGAGAATAACCTCCGTTAGGAATTTACTTAAAAAAAGAGAGATGATACAAAGGTTACAACAACCTTTCTATATTGTATGTAATAATAAATTACACTTACCAACCCTAGACTTTTCAGGGACGCTGGCGGTGTAAATGTCCTTGGTAAATTTAGGTTCATTGTCATTGATATCATGGATTTTAATGATAAATTCCGATTCTGGCTCGACTTGTCTTCCAGTCTTCCGGTCTATAGCCTTGGCACGTAGGACATACAGGGACTTTTCTTCTCGATCCAGCCTTTTTGCAGCATGAATATCTCCTGTATTTTCGTCTATAACGAATAGACTGCCAGCTCCATCTCCTGTTAATATGTATTTTAAATTTCCATCTCCTTTATCTTGGTCAGTGTGTAGCTTTAGGGAGAGAGAGGGGAGGGAAAGACTGCTATAAATATATGCATTGTTATTAACAACCCAATCTTTCCTCATATACTAGTAAGTCTTTACAAATCTTGTCTATAATTGGGGTCACCGTTGGTTATCTCCTGTCTCACTATTGGGGGAAGAAATTGCAAATCGGAGACTTTGGTCTCACATGCAAAGTAACTCTAAACAAACTGATAAAGGATGCAAGGATGCAGAAGATAAGAAAAGTAGCATTTAAAATGAAGAATACAATGTCAAATGCGATAATCAGATTTTTTCCCCCACAGTGTTCTTCCACAAACCCAGATAGTTTTATATTTTGTCCTGAAGACAGCTAGTCTAACAAACTTTTTTGAGTGAGATTTAAAAAAGAAGAGAAAAAGAAAGAAAAAAGAAGACGACTTGGGTTATGCCGTGACACTTTGGATCTCCATCAGTTAAATAAGGTTTGTCATGTTGTTTTGGGGGCTGCTATTTGAAAATCCCAAGGTCAGAGCCATCTTGGGTATGCAGTCTTGTGGTTCCTTGGGTACAGGAAGAATCCTTTTACATTAATTTATTTACTGTACCACTAGCAGACTATTCCCCCTTTCACTACGTTCAGGCTGTTCCAGAGCTCTTCAGAATGTTCTGTAGCCTTGATACAAAGGTGGTGGGGTAAGAACTCATGCTGACCTCTTCCTGGATGTGCCTGCAGAGGTGTGGGTAGGGATGCCAACCTCCAGATGGGTCCCTGGAGATCACCCAGTTATTACTATTCATCTCCAGATGATAGAGATCAGTTTCCCTGGAGAAATCGGCTGCTTCGGAGGGTGGTCTCTGTGGATACCCGGTTGAAGTCCCTTCCTTCACCAAAACCCACCCACATCAAGCTCCATCTCCAAAATCTCCAGGTATTTCCCAACCCAGAGCAGGCAACTCTAGGTGTGAGGCAGCCAAAGAAAATTGTAATGAGTGTTGTTGTTTTTTTGTAGTCAGCTCAGAGGTCATTTCGGGGGGGATCGCGGGGGATCGCAGTTCCCCCGGGTGAGGTGCGGGGGGCGGGGCACATGACGAAGCCCCGCCCCCTGCTTCCGGCCACCCCGCTTCCGGCCCTCATTCAGCCAGGAGGAGGCAGGAGAAGAGGGAGGGTAAGTTGCTTCCTCCCTGCCTCTCCCCACCCCTGCCTGCCTGGGGCCAGGGAGGGCCTTCGCGGGGCTTCCTTGCACTCCCGCCAGCCTTGCGGGTCCACCGCCGGGCCCCTCATGGGGTTCGGCAGTGGAGCGGCAAGGCCGGCGGTGGCAGCCGGGACCGTTGGGGGCGGGATGTGTGGCCTTATGACACATTTCCGGTGATGTCAGGGGGTGTGGCCTTATGACACACTTTCGGTGATGTCAGGGGGTGTGGCATATGCTAATGAGTTATGCTAATGAGTTCCCCTAGCTCTTTTTCTACGGAATGACCCCTGAGTCAGCTCATGGGATTAGGTTAGGGGTACAACAAGTTCAGGATGTTTTCAGCTGTTGCTGGCCCTGCCCATCTTTATGAGAGAGAGAGAGAAGACAGTACTGGGGATAAGTGGATTCCCCCAGTCCATTTCTTTTTATAGTTCTGAATTTCTCTCTGTGTTGTGGTCTACTCCTCCTTGATCCCAGTTTAATCGGGAAAACAAAAATAAAATTCCTGAATTGGATTCACTTTCAATTACCAATATACATTTGCATGTATTCATTGATGACTGTATCGGTTGAATCAAGGTCTTGCTGTTGTTATGCCGGCTATCCCTCCCCTTTGGTAGCCATAAAAATCATTTGTTGTAAAATTCATCATAGCAATATGGTGACAGCATTCAGTTTCTACCAAACGTTACCCTCTCCTCCCCAGTGCTCACTGTAGGGATACAGATAATTCCAGCTAGATTTGGGTCCATGAGCACCTCAAAGAGCAGCAATACTCTGGGTCCAGGCGCTTTTATTTATTTATTTATTTATTTATTTGGGACTTCTATCCCGCCCTACCCAACAGCTCAGGGTGGCTAACAGACGGCCATGCCGAGATTAAAATATAAAACAGTACACAGTACAGACAGTAAAACAACATTGCCTACATAATAAAATTTGGTGCTCTAATAATTTACATAAAGTGGCCAAGATTCACGACGTCCCATACTGGCAGCCAATTTTCTTCATAGCATGAGCACCAGGAAGACTATTTACACTGGCTCGATTGGGCGCCATCTCCCCCCCCCCAGTGAGGTAGATGGCTGGAATCTCAATGGTGGAATAATGGCGGCGGTGGTGGCTCCCCCTCAAAGGCCTGGCGGAAAAGCTCCATCTTGCAGGCCCTGCGGAACTGTATCAGGTCCCGCAGGGCCCAGATCTCCTCCGGAAGCTTGTTCCACCAGGAAGGAGCCACCACCGAAAACGCCCTAGCCTTGGTTTGGGCCAACTTCACACCTCGGGGACCTGGAACTTCCAGTAGGTGGAGATTCCCTGATCGCAGTGCTCTTGGGGGAACATACAGGGAGAGGCGGTCCCTTAGGTAAGCCGGACCCTGGCCATTGAAAGTCAAAGCTCCCTTCATCAGATAATTCCAGTAGTTTATGCGATTAAATTGGCAATTATGTAGCATGTGTGTATGTGTTGTTCTTTGAAAAGTAGTGTACCCCCTCCCCCTCCACACCTTGACAGTAAATCAGTTTTTTTTTTTACTTCTCTTGATTTTTTTTAAAATGCAAAACACCACAGTGGTTATATTACCACTTGGACAGATAAAGGTTTCCCTTGCTCAAAATCTGGTTGAATCCAACTCTAGGGGGCAGTGTTCATCTCTTTTTCCAAGCCGAAGAGCCAGCGCTGTCCAAAGATGTTTTCGTGATCATCTGGCCGGCATGACTAAACGCCGAGGCACACAGAACGCTGTTACCTTCCCATCAAAGTGGTACCTATTTATCTACTTGCAATTTCTTGCTTTCGAACTGCTAGATTGGCAGGGGCAGGGGCCAGAGATGGGAGCTCACTCCGTCATGCGGCACTCGGGTCTTGAACTGCCAAACTACAGACCTTCTGGTCTGTAGCTCAGCATCTTAACCTCTGAGCCACCACGGCCCTCGATTTGGACTGATAGACTTACCTAAATACAAAATACACTGCATTAATTTCAGTTACTGAGGAAGCACATGTCCCAGATCAGTGAATCTAATCCCAAACAAATTCTTGGATGATAGTTCTGTCTGTGGCAGCAACAGGGTAGAACTGTTGACCTCACATCCTGCTTGCTGGCTTCATAGATACAGCAGATTGGCCACCATGGGAAACAGAATATAGGACTATTGGTATCATCTAGCAGACTTCTTCCAAGGAAGTAGTATAGGTGGTGCACTCATTCAAAATACGGGTGGAGGAACTGCATGCTCATTAGCTTGAAGAAAACTCCCTCCATTCAAGAAACTAACTCCTTCATAGACAAAGATGTCAGAAATGCTTCAAACTTTGCATCCCCAAAGTGGAAAAGTAGACCAATGTAATGGTAGGGATGCCAGTCTCCAGGTGGGACCTGGGGATTCCCTGGAATTACAGTTTATCTCCAAACTACAGAGATCAGTCCTCCAGGAGAAAATGGTTGGGTTTGGACAGTGGACTCTATGGCATTGTACCCCATTGAGGTCCCTGTTCTCCCCAGGCTTCATCCCCAAATCTCCAGGAGTTTCCCATCCTGAATCTGCCTACCCTACGTTAATATAATCTTATATGTACTTGTAACACCGCATGTGTTCACATGTGCAATTTCTGTCTTGTGATGTCCAGCATTTCTTCTGAACAGGTTGAGGAGCCATCTTACACGATGCAACGAGGCACATTGCCACATTGTCTTGGCTTACATTGTCATAGGTAGGGATGGGCACAAACCAGCTGTCAAACTGAAGTTCGTCACAAACATTGGCTGGTTTGTGGTTCGTAAAGCAATGTTCATGAACTGAAGAACTGCCATGAACTTTCACAAATTTTGACACAGTTCATGGTGGTTTGTGGTGGTTCGTGAAGAGCGGAAAGCAGGGGTCTAAACCTCTGATTTATGCTCTTCACGAAAAACAGCTGAGCTATTTGGTTGAAATGGCTGGGTGCCATTTCAACCACTGCTTTCTGCTTCCCGTGAAAAGCCACAGGGAGCAGAAAGCAGGGGTTGAAATGGCTCTGAGTCTGGGGCTGACTGGGGCTGGTTACCCAAGAAAGTCCCTTTGAACAGGTGAGCCACATGGAGCAATCTGCTCATGAACCAAACCTCATTTTTGTGGTTTGTGCCCATCCTTAGTCAGGGGACCCACATGGACAAAAGCCAGGTGGGGCACGGGCTGTAGTAAGGAGGGAAATGAGATGAGATTGGGTAAAAATGTTGCCTGGATTCAACCCTTTAGAATTGAGCCAGCACTTTTTGTCTTGGTTTCATAGGCAGTCTGAGCCAATCAGGAAATATTTTCAACACCTAAGAGTTCCACAGTCCTAGTACAACGGAAACAACAACAACAAAATTATTGTGTGGGAAAGTCCCATTTAGAGTGTGACAAAGCTTTTTTATGAAGCTGTCCTTCTGATCAACTAAGCACTAGTAGCAGGCTGCCTTATAAAATGTGTTACATCCCAATGAACACCAACAAAAAAGGGACTGTAAACATATGATTTAATGCTCACCAGGTAGGCATGTGAAAAGCTCACATGCCTTAATTTTATAGGCAGTATTATTATATTTTCATATTGATTGTAGCTGAAATCTTGAAGAGATGAGTGACCAGTTTGTGGTATCGATGCCACAGAGCAGTAAACATTTGCAACATTGCTACACATGACTCAAATTGCTGCTTGCCCATCTACTTCTTGAAGGAAACTGAATCTGAAGCAGAGGGGTCTGCATATACTCTGTAGCATGCACTGAAGTGAGACTCATAGTTTTGTATCGGCCCATTTTTCACCAGACCTGAACAAGTACGTGGGTCACAACACAAGTCAACACCA